TGGTTAGCGTCGCGACAGTCCGACCATTTGGCAAACGATCGGCGGTCGAAGGCGGCCAACTCGGCGCCCGTCCGCGTCGGTGTCACTGGCAATGACTTAGATCTGGTTGGAGGGGCTTTGATGGCCGGCTGCTGGCGTCTCAGCTGTGGTTCCGTCGCTGGCATTGGCGGTGTGTGGCTATTGGGAGGCGTCGGCGGCGGCGACGACGACGAGTCAGTCACAGCGATCGGTGAGTAACCGTCAATTGGCAGAGACGTTGGTTTTGGGGGACTCGACGGCTGTGGTTGGGGTTGAAATTCTGGCTCCTGTTCCGTGAGTTCGGGTTCTGGAGATTTGGTCTCGGGTTCACTGGGAGGGGGAGGCGGCGGACTGTGACCGCCATCGGGCACATCACGTGCGACGGGAGGTGTGGCCACTTCGGGAGGCGCTATACGTATGGGTTGGGTTCGTTCGGGAGGCGGAGGTTCGGGCGCTGTTTGCTCAACGGGTGGACACTTGGGCTCATTGTTTTGGTCCACAGTTGGCAACGCGTTGTCATCACTTGTTTTGTACTTTTTTAGTTCAATCTGTTGTCAAATAAACGGAAACACAATTAATATTAAACACATATTTAGTTCATAAATCAAACGTTTGAATAAAAACAAACAAAACTTCAAACATAAATGTCATGTAAAATGAATGACTAATATATAAATGATAATCAAATCAGTTTTGATAACTGATATAAAATATGATTTAAAATACCGGAAAAGCACTTAATATTGCGATAAATAAAACAAAACTCAAACGATTATTACATCAATGAATGCATTAATTATTTACTATTAAAATCTGTCAAACATTTCTTAGCGATCATAACTCATAGCAATTGCAAAATCAATGCATAATTTCCACCCTATTATCAGAGTATAGGGGAAGAAAGGGAGGGATAGGTAGGGGGTATGGGATGTCTGGCCATAAAAGGACACTATTATGCATGAGTTTATCGCAAACAATACAGATAAAGGGTGGGGGAGGGGGTGAGTGTCTGGTTGTCTCTCTCTCTCTCCTAGCAATAGCACAGCAATGAATAGTATTCAGTGAATACACTAATGACAGGAAGCAAAGCGACGATAAAAACTTATAAACAAATCTCATTAAAAACAATAATAAATCAATTAAAAACAATTCAATGGGGTTTAAGAACTGAGGGTTTAGGCAAACAGTTGTGGTGTTTGTGTTTAAAAGAGATAATATTTACTGTAAAAAAAAGTTTTATCAAATATTTTTTGCCGATTTCCTTAAAACGGAAACAAATAATTTTGCCGTTAAATAAATGTCACATTTGTTTGTTTCATACCTCAAGATCTGCTAATTTGGTCTCCAAATCCCTATTGATTTGCATCACTTTCTGGCACTCGAGCAGTGTTTCCGTTTTGAACTCTTCGGCCACCCGTACGGTTGTCAACAGATCCTTCTGGAACTGATGCCACTCTTCGTGTTCGGCGGCCATCAGTCCGTTGAGTCGATTAATCTCGTGCTGTTTGTCGGCTAAACTGGACTGAAGTTCGGCCACCAATCGATTCTTGTCGGACAACTGAATCATGAGTTGCCGGCGGTCTTCGATGGCCAGCCGCTGAGCGCTGAGCTCTGTCTCGAGCTTCTGGTGTTCGGCGAACTTCAGCCGTATTATCAACTGTTCGTTGGTTTCGCGGAACTCATTGCACTTCATCTCAAAACTCTTGATCTGTTGGATCAGTTTCTGGATCTCCTCTTTGGAGTCGCTTTCGGTGAGCGCCAACTGATGCCGCAGTTTCTTCACTTCGGTCTCAGCCATCGTTAACTGTTCCCGCAATTGGCGCACAATTGTCTCGAACTTTTGCTTCTCGTTGCGCGCGTCGATCAGCAGCTGATCCATCTCTGACTTGTCGAATATGGAGTCCATGTCTGGCGGCAACGACTGCGGCGACCGATTGGCGCCGGCGTTGCGATTGTTTGATTGTCTTATTGGCGTCTCTGTGGAGAACTCAATCAACTGATGCCTTAGAGACGACACTTCCATCGGGGAAACAAAACACAGACACTGTCTTCGGGGTTGTATGGGATGTGCGATGAATGGCAGACCACTTATCGCAGACACAAAAACAATGTCCAAAACAAATGTATCGCTAATTAGATATCAAAACAGACGGCGACTGAAAAACATAATAAACAAAGCGATTAAAAATCAATTCAAATATTAAATTAAAACTAAATCTAATTCAATGCAAATGCTATTGAAATACGATATGAATAAACGAGTTAAAAAAGCAGTGAACACGTAAACAACAGTATGAATAAGTAATAATAGTTAGTAATGGTAAGACTTATAATGAGTTTACAAAATACATGGTAATTAACATCAAATACACAGACATTTAAAAACCAACGGTTCACTAAACATAAGGGTTAAGACATAAACAAATACAATGAGTGCTCTTTTCAATATACTTTGCTCTCTCTCTCTCTCTCTCTCGTAATAAATTATCTCATTTAGTAAACAATACACTCGGCTATCGATAAGTGAATTATTAATACACTGGGCGTTCACACTAACGGATAGTACACTATCTATAATAGACTGTATTGATTGGCAAAAATCGTTGCAAAAATTAATGTATAGTTTGTTTAATTGCATTCAAAATACATTCAAATTGAATGCAAAAAACGGTTATTATTTCTAATATAAACAAAACTTGTAATTATTGTTATCTATCGCTTAAAATATGTGATAAATAGCTATTTCTCTGATAACATACAAAAGCACTGCAAGTGATAGTATAGATAGGGTTGGGATGTGTTTGCAGTGACAG